TTACGTAACTACGTACGTAGTTTAGTTTAGTTACGTACGTAAGTAGTACTATTACTTATTATAGTAGTCGTCACCTACTACTAGTATACTACTACTACTATATATATATATATATATATATATATATATATATAACTACTTATATATATATATATATATATATTATGTACGTAATTATATCCTCAAAAGTAGGTCTTAATTACAACCTGAAGAGAAATGTCAGTAATGTGTAAGCAGTATGTGAATAAAATAACTAATGTAGGAGAAAATGAGAAAAATAAACTTTTTTTTTTTCAAGGTGAATATAAACCTTAAACATGCACTTCTATTACTGTTTTTATCCTAAATAGAACTTACAATACAGATATAGTATTAATTTATTTCTTTATGTAAAATGGTAAAAAAAAGGTACCATAATAAATACATCATCTGGGATCATAAAACATATATGTATTAATCGTCATAGCATTAATGTTTTTACAATAATGGTTCGATACAAATAGTTGATAAAAGTCTTAAGTGTTTTTCTACAAGCAGATATTTTGTCATCAAATAAATTAAGGACGTATTACAACCTACGGTATTGATTTTGAAGATAATATAGAGAATTTGTACAGATAGGTTTGAATGGCATCTTTCCTGATCTGCTCTGAACTAAAACCTAAGCCATGCCTGTGAGAAAGAACACCATCTAAATGAACTAGTTTGACATTATATCAAAATGTTACTCAGCTTACATGGATATTTGTGCTGTGTGTTGATCAATGCATTATTTAATAGCCACACAAAGATCTACGCACTCGACATTCATATAATAACCACAACAAAAACCCATTGTTGCTACTTCAACAACAAGATAAACACTTCCTTACTACAACAATAGAATAACATTCTTGAAGTGTAATAATAACTCTTTTTGTATTTTTATATTCATGCTGGTGAGGATATGAAATATGGTATTTTTATATGTGGTCATCTTATTGTAATTCTCAAACCATTTAAGTGATTATATAGCATACCTAATAAACTATTAGTGAATCTCTAGTAAAAAAGTCCCATTGCTTGAATGAACAGTGACTCTATACTGTATAGTTACTTGAATTACAGGCATTACAGATCCTAGTTAATTGAAGTAAAATGGGTTATACCAACCAACAATGACTGTAGTACACCAAGCATTACATCAGTGACTCTGTAGTACACTAAGTGTTACATCAAACATCAGTAACTCTGAAGTACACCAAGTGTTACATCAAACATCAGTAACTCTGAAGTACACCAAGTGTTACATCAAACATCAGTAACTCTGAAGTACACCAAGTTTTACATCAAACACCAGTAACTCTGAAGTACACCAAGTGTTCAATCAAACATCGGTAACTCTGAAATACACCAAGTGTTACATAAAGCATCAGTAACCTTGTAGTATATCAGTGGTTATGTCAAGCATCAGTAACCTTGTAGTATATCAGGGGTTATGTCAAACATCAGTAACCTTGTAGTATATCAGTGGTTATGTCAAGCATCAGTAACCTTGTAGTATATCAGTGGTTATGTCAAGCATCAGTAACCTTGTAGTATATCAGTGGTTATGTCAAACATCAGTAACCTTGTAGTATATCAGGGGTTATGTCAAACATCAGTAACCTTGTAGTATATCAGTGGTTATGTCAAACATCAGTAACCTTGTAGTATATCAGTGGTCATGTCAAGCATCAGTGACTGTAGCACACCAAGTGTTACACCAAACATCAGTGACTGTAGCACACCAAGTGTTACACCAAACATCAGTGACTGTAGCACACCAAGTGTTACACCAAACATCAGTGGCACTATAACACATCATCTTTGTTTCAACCAACAGTGAATACAGTACTTTAAGTTACATCAACCATCAGTGAAGCTGTAGCACATAACACCAACAATGACCACAGAAAATCACGAGTTACACCTATAAATATGATTCTATAATAAAGTAATCAACCAATGTTGACGGTATACACTTTGAGCTGTATTAACCAACAGTGACTACTCTATAGGAATTATTTGAGCTAAACAGCATATCACACTATCATCCTATTTAATCTTTACATCTTTAAAAAAGACATGGAATGAAAATGTTTACAACAAAACAGAAGAATAGTGTGTTAGAATTAACACTTCAATGAAATTTAACACTAATGAAGGGTTTAAAAAACATGCATGTGAAACAATAATGAAGCTAATTAAATTACTCAAAGCAATACTGGTCGTACAAAGGTCCGAGAGAATTTAAACAGAACATGAAAGGAAAATGAAAAAGAAGTTAAAAAACCATCAGAGTGACATTGAAATTATGAAAAGTCGAGGAGGCTTAAAAAACGAATGAGTAAAGATCAAAATGCAACTTCATAAATTCATCAGGTCATACTGGTCTTACAAAAAAAGTTTATAAATATACACAATAAGTGGAATTTGTTTTTTATATATTTTCTGGTAACTGTGGCAACACACTTTACAAAATCTTAAACAACCTTAAACATATGTAGACAGTGTTTATTTATAGGCTCCATGGTCCACTCTTGCCTTTTCTCTTACTCTTCAGATGACAATTCAGGCTTCAAGGCGAGTCTTTCAACACCTACAGATGAACTCAGCTTGAAATTTCAATAATCATCAAAAAGTCTAGAAAATAAGCTAGAGGAGTCATATACATCTGTTTGGAAAAAGTCATATGTACATCCATTTTATAAAGATGTGTCCTTTCACTGCTGCTGTTCTTAAATGCTGTACCACATGAAACTTCTATGTCATATTCATCAAGCTAAGCTGTACTCAAATGTTTCTAATGGTTCTGTTTTCATATGGTAACAATTCTGTATACAGGATTCACATTTTGATGTCTATATGCATTTTGCCACAAATGAAGTATTTCTTTATAATAACAGTACACCTCTGCATCAAAAGATCTGTTGATGTTACAAATGATTGAAGATACAATGGGTTGATTTAAAGCTAGTCATTTCAATCAAAATATATTAATGAAGATAGCCCAATGTGTTCATCCACGGACAGGGTATTAAAGCTAGTGATTTCTTTTCATTTATTAAAATTACTTTTAAGTCTTTTACATTTTGAGCAAAGCTACACAAGGGCTATCTGTGCCATCCGTCCCTAATTTTGAAGTGATAGACTAGAAGGAAAGCAGCTAGACACCAACACTCACCACCAATTCTTATGCTGTTCTCACCAGATTGACTAGTGGGATTTGACTGTAACTCTTATAATATACCCATAACCCCAAGGTATAGAGTTTTTTTTTGTGGTAACAGGTGTGAACCATGGAACTTCAGATCCACAGAACAGTATACTGACCACTGGGTTGTACACCCTACATTTTAAAGTAATAGTGGTAATGTGGTTGAAGTAATTAATACCATCTAATTAAAGGACAAAATTTAAAATACATAAAATACATACAGTTTGATTTACTACTGATTATAGAAAAAAAAACCATCATACTTACCATTTAAGTCAAAAAATAAAAGATCTATAATGTTCAATTCAGTAATAATGCTGGAAAAATCATTAGACTTAAAACTTTACAAAAATAATCAAGAATACACCTATAATGTTCAATTCAGTAATGATTCTAGAAAAAACGACAATACTTAGTGTTTGAAATTTTACAGCAATTATTAATGTATTTAGCATTAGAAGTCTTTATTTTCCAAATCAGTATAAGTGTATTATGTATTTAAGTTATGTACAACTGTTCACATTAAACAGGAACTACACACAATGAAAATTTTAGAACCTTTGATACTGTATACTCATGGAAAAATAAAATTTTGTAACATTAAAAAAAATCAAATGTGGTAGTGTAATTCTATTATCTTACTAAATTACTTAATAAATTAATTAAGTATTATAATTAAACTAATTTACGAAATACAAATTATAAAGAACACACACTGCAATACTACATGGAAAAAAAAAGGTTACAAATGAAGATAAAAGTAGTTACATATCATTGTCAATAGTTTTAAAACAGGAATGTAATATCACCTTGTTCTGTCTTTTTTTTTTGGGGGGTGGGGGTATTTTTAAATTCTTCATCTTATGCCCATCATCTCTTTTCCAATACAAAACACAATGTTTTTTAACTATATTAATACAAGACAATAAGTTGTTCAATAGGAAAATAAGCTTCAATGTTGATCACGCAATTCCGCACATTATACAAATTCACACACAGTCTTCATAACTAGGCAGTGGAACAAGAGTGGTGAAACAGAAGACTTCTAGGTGTCTTGACTCGTGATCATATCAACCAAAATGTCCAGTAGATGGTAAACCAGGCATCTAATGAAGATAAAGTTAAGATGCAAATGATGTAATAGGCATGTTAACACATATTTGCCTCGTGTCAGAAAAGGTTATTACAGGTTCTGAGGTTACTTGCAGTGCAAACAGTGGCTGAAATATGTATAACCTATTCAAAAACCTATCTTAAATACACACAGTGTAGTGTATACTTATCTTGTATATATACACTTATAATCTATTCAGATCACTGTCAAATTACCACAATGTAAAAAATATTTAGTTTGACTATATACACTCATTTGTTCACACCAATATCTTAATGAACCACATACGTTCACACCAATATCTTAATGAACCACAGTGTACAGGTTCTGGTTGACTATATACACTCATATGTTCACACCAATATCTTAATGAACCACAACATAGCAAATACTTATGCACGTAACAAAACAGTGATCTCCAACTGTTAACACCATATGACTTAAGTGTCTGATAACCTGAGTGACGACATGCCTCTCTTTGATGTCTACTTTTTAGGTTAAAAATACCTATTGTAAACTTAAGTAAAAGTTCTTTGTATTCACTAGGATCCTTATACCAGCTTTTTACTTTGTTAACTAGTAAAACTATATTAAATAATCTTCAATGGCTATTATCACATTACTTGGTTTAGTGTATAACTCTGTAAATATACAAACTATTCAAATTATGTTTTTATTATCTTATAAAGTAAATAAAATATGTCTTATCCAATCATAATGAACTAGAAATCGATCTAGCCAATGCCAAATCAGAATCATTTGAAAATATCCAAATAAGGTCATTTGGGAGTAGAAAAGCAACATGTTCTCTGTAAATAACAAATTAAATTCTTCAACGGATGTTCAAAGAAATATGAATGAACAAAAGAAACCGAGTTACTTACCAAATCAGATATTTCACCAATTTTAAAATGTTATAAAATTAAACACTTCAGTTAATATATACTAAAAAAGTATTTAATTGTTTGTTGATAAGCACAAAGCTACACAATGGAATATCTGTGCTCTACCCATCATAGGTACTGAGACCAGATTTTAAATGTTATAAGACCAGGTAGGCCATGAATAATTAATATCAATCTCAAGAAATATTCACATTTGGGATTAAAAAAAAAAAGATTCATTAGCATAAATATGGTAACTAATAATCATATCATTTAATACAGAAATAAATTAATGGGTTTTTATAAATGATAAAAACATTATTAGATTAATTATTAGTTATTATTAATTATTAATAATTAATTTAATAAAAATACTAACACTCATTTCATTTCTTAATCTCAATACTTTCAAAACAATCAAATGAAAATTATATAAATAGTTAATATTCTTTTAGAGAAAGGGTAAGAAAGACCCTTAAAACAAGTTACAGGACTTGCAATCTGAAGTCTATTTGTGTCCATATCAAGTGCTTTTCAATCATTTAGCAAAAGCTAAGTAAATCCATCTATGCATATTCGTTATGTTTTAGTTCAATTAATCTAATACTACTGAATTAAGACAACCAACTGGCAATATCCAAATTACAACTTGGATATGCATATTATACCAATTCTCATTGTTTGTAACAGATTCATGTTTTACTTATCACTCTCTTCTTGAGTCTCCCAGAAAAAAAAAAACATCCAAATGTTCTGATCTTTTATGTCAGGTTTTAATAGTGAACTTGTATCTTCATGAATGTTCTATCTTATTGTAAAATTTAAAAATACAGAAATTGTCCATTCCCAAAAAAACCTAAAGTCCAAGTTCAGCTGCATATGAATATACAGTCCATGTCCCACTAACTCTGTCACTAATCATCTGTATGTTTGTCACAATGTGAAGATGATAGTCTATTGTAAGTTTCTTTCTGCCACTTGTATCTTAATTAGTAACTTTATGTTGAATATGTTGTGATGAACATGAGTTACAACTAATGTATAGAATTTAAAACACTTTTCTTAGAAAACTAATCAAAGAGAAATAAAAAACTGTTTTGTGTTTACTTACTTATTCAGCTTTTCGTTCTGAAGAGATCCTAAAAGCAAAGAAAGGCTTTCTTCATACTGCGAGGAAGAAAATACTACAGGAGTAAGAACTGAAAGAAAAAATTTAGAACCCAATATATAAATATACCACCTTTCATAACCAAAAATATCCATGAAAAAATTAAATACACCATTGTATGCTTATGTAAAAACATAGAAATAAAGATATTTACTTATAGAAGCCAAAATATCATTACATGCAGCCACCCACTGGTGTAGCAACTCCACGATAAACCAAGCACAATTACTTGATCTTCGCAACAGCTAGAGAATCAAGGACCTATCATTTGGTATGACCACTTTATGGACAAGACTTGGTGTAAATGAATGACCAGTTGGTCAACAACTGAAAAGTTTGGCTTTTGTGCTGATATCCATGATGTAGTGTAAAAATAATAAAACTATTTAAACAGAAAATAAAATAAACTAGGCTTTATTTTGAAAAGAGAAATATGATGAAAGTATTTGACTATTTCTTTAATAGTAAACGATCAACAGATCATGGAGTAAAGAGGAACAAAAACAAGAATTCACAGTCAACCTTAGCTCTTTCAAGAAAGAAATTAATCTGCATGAAAATTTTACATTTTCCCTGTAGCTAACCAACCAGAAAACTGTATCACTAGAATCTGGAGTCAATGTGACAGTCCTCTATACACAATACACAGTTGGATAAAACTATTCCAAGAAACAGTAAATAGCTTCCTTTACCGGCCCTTGGTAAGCACTTGTGACTGAGTTTAGCACATGACCTTAACCAGATATAGGATGTTTCAAATTAGAACTTAGAAAAACTTTTATACTCTGTAGATGTGAAAGTTACAATTTTCCTCCCCTTAAAAGCTATTTCTGACAGGTACTTACTTTCGCTCATGTACATAACTATCCTCATTCAGTGTTGTCCTCCATTTGCAATTTTTTTTTTGTCATGCCACAAACCTTTCACTCCCATGTACCCCTTAGTTCACATGGTTTAACTGAATCGTGCATGCAAACTATCATGCAACAAAGCTCCATCAATAGACACGCCCCACATCCATGACTCATGTGACTCCCTCTTTGCTATTCTACCTATCTATAACTTCGAGTTTAGCCAGAAACCTAAGTACCTGTTGACAGTGAGGACGATAGGTAAGAAGAGTGAGCGGAAGTTAGCACCTGTCAGAAATATATTTTCAGTGTCAGAAAATTATAACTTCTGACAATGTACCTTACCTCCTCTCACATACATAGCTAGAATCCCACACTGAATAGGTGGAGGGTCCAGTGCAAGGGAGAAAGTAGAAGCATTATTGAAAAGTGTCCAAAGGACATCCTCATGAGGGAACCCTCTAAAAATAGGATTATACATGGGAGACGGCACCACTTCTGTACCAGGTATACTCTTTGCCCAGATGTAGAAAAGGTGTGACAGATCTGGGCAGAAAATAGTGAGGAGCACATCCCAATGGAAGAGAAAACAGTTGAACAGTGCTTCAAACCACAACGTATTATAACGAATAGTATCTGGGTAAAATAAGGGATGTG